TAATATGAACTTTAGTGCTCAATATTAAGCACATAGGAAGTGCTTCTCTACCCGACAACTAAAAAAATTAATAATTCTATTTATTAATAGAAAATGAAGTAAATATAAATATAAAATATATATTCACTTAAAAAAAAGTTAACTTTTGTATTCAGAATTGTTTTAACATATACAATGTCCGTAGTGAAAACTTAAGAGGAATAACGATTCATTTAGAATAAATAAAATCTTCTAAATCTTCCAAAAAAATGTAGCGTTTACTAGCAAAATGACAATATATAATTAGTAACTTAATAGCAATCTACTTACGTTTAGAAACAGCGGCAACGAAAAAGTATCTTTTACCTTAGGTAACATTAAATCGATCTCAGGATACTTAGATTTCACTTTCTGCTATTCAAGGTTTCACATGTTTTAAAATTCTAAGATTCATGTAAACAGCTTTCACATGAATGAATAAAATATTCATCAAATTTCGAGATCAGTGAACATAAACTCCAGTTAATTTAATTAATTAATAGAAATAGATATCCTCTTAAAATGTTATGTAGCTATAATGCGGTTTATATCCTGTATTAAATATGTATTAAAAAGAACATTATAAACAAATTTTATACTAAGGAATCTTAGATTAAAATTAGAGAAAAATATTTATTTTACTAAGAGAAGTTATATTCCACAATACTTTTTTAAATTTACATGGATTTATGAAAATCTAGTAGAGAGAACTTCAAGATAGGCATAATTAAATATACGATACTTTATTCTTTTGGTCTCTTCTATGCTTATCAATTCGTATGTCTTTCCAGCTTGATCTGATCTTCTATTAGTGCTTCCTTATGAACTGAATGGGTTGGCTATAGTTTGTTCAAAACTATTTTAATGGAGAAAAATGAAGTTGAAATTATATATATTACTTATTGTACTTAAAATATTCAATATACTTTAATGATTTTACCTTTATTACCTAACTAGGCACTATGCTCCAGCAATGGACTATCGAGGAATTTTCAACTACCTCAAAATATTCGACTAATCTTACTTCTTTTTTAATGAAGTGTTTTTTATTGAGTTATTGTTTTTTATTCAGAATGTTTGATTCCAAATATTGTAGAATCATAGTGAGTCCCAGTGCTCCAGCAATGGACTATCGATGAATCTTCTACTACCTTAAAATATTCGACTAATCTTACTTTTTTTATAATGAAGTGTTTTTTATTGAGTTATTCTGTCCCATATAACAACACTTGTAATCTACATTTTAAAAATCCTAAAAATTAACGACCACATCCAATAGATTAGTCCAGTCTATGGATTACTTTTTTTAAGGTGGCACTAAGAAAATAAATTCTAATCACAGCTATTGTGTCTCATGTATCTGTTACTACAGCGGAAAGCCCCAATGTTAATAACAGAGTACACTGGGAATGCATTAGGTGCCTTTATTCTGTCAACGCTTAACTCAGATATCAAATCAATTTTTCGCGCTACCGCTTCATTAAGCATTATGTGCAAATATGTATTATGAATATATTTTCGTTTATTCAATTTTTGTGCGATTTCGACCTATCTAAGTACTGCGTACCACGCGCTTCTGTATTCTGGTACGATTTGCATAACTGTTGCTAACAGCCAAACGCATGCAATGCATTGCGAATGAACGGTAGTTCATGCAGACAAATGAAGAATTTCCAGCAGACCTGATGGATCGTTGGATCGTTGGATCGTTGGATTGTTGAATTGTTCAATCGATGGATGGACAGCATAAAAAAGTAATTATTTAGATATCTTATATATTTACTTATTTTTATATGTTTTTCTTGGTTCGCACTACGCCTAGCTGCACTTCATATGAATGGGTATCTCGCAGCACAAATTTGCTGTTATGCATGCGGCTTCGTACGCCAGTAACTGTATGCACCTGTATGAACAATTCAGTTGGATCGCATACAAAAGATACTTGTACAAATAAAGCTGAACAAAAAACAAAATTAGAAATGACTAAATAATAACTTCAAATAAAAAGCAATAGAAATTCCATCAATAAAGTCAATACGCTCGACGTTGACTTTGATGAAGAAGAATGGCACGAAACGCTTTGTAGGAACTACAAAAAATTATCGTGTAACGCTTTTTATTAAATTATGTATTATCATTATTTTGTAGGAATATTTTCAGTTTATATCGTGTGCAAGTATCTGAAAATGTGTTGAGATATTTACGACATTCTTAATGACTTTCTGTTCAATGGCTTATGGCTGGTTCAGTTACTTTATGTTGGCTTAGGTCAAATTGAAAGTAACGTAAGTAATGAAATATGAATTTTCATAATGAAAATTTGATGTGATTTAAACTATTATGCAATTTTTATTCAATGAAATAAATTAATTGATTAAAATGAAGAATTAATTTAAACATTCTTACAACACAACTTCATGGCTTGTGACAAAAGTAAAGTATTTAAGAAAGCACTCAGTAGTCGATTTAATATAAATATTTACACAATAGTCAATTTTTTGATGAAGATCTCAATCAATTATGATTTAAACAACGACATTTTTATTTAAGGTTATACTAAATCTTTTGTATAATCGGGTTCTTCTTCACCACGGTAAGCTTAACGAACTGAAAATCAAAATATTTTTGAAATATAACTTTAAAAGGGGTAGCTTTCTCTTTGCCCAATACTATGAGTTAATATTATTAGACATAATCAAATTAACAGATCAAACAAATTCATACTTCTTAAAGGAGTGACCTTGCTCTACAAAATTAGTACCTCCTTCCAAACTGTTAAGTTGACCGGTAAACATAAATACTTGAAGGCAGCTAAGTAGTAGTCGAAGATTCTTGTCAGATCACAAGACTTACTCTGTTTAAATTGAACACAAAAACACCAATCAATAGTTTGAACTAAAGCACAATCTGCTCAATACTTTAATGTTCTTGTTGACAGATCACCGCAAAATGAGACTTGTCCTATCCTATAAGAAGTTTTGTCTTAATTGTGACTTTACACAGAAGAGGAAAACTATGCAGTACCTGATATGGTAAAGCCCATTTTTCACTAAAAGATGTGCCAAAAACGTGTTTTAAGTTTTTTAAATCGATCTAACAGAACTATAATTTTTCAAAATTAGAGCCATTGCCAATTCAAACGAGCCATTATTAAGCTTAAGTTGGCTTTAGAATACAAAGCCGCAATTCCATCCACGATTAATATATGCTAAGTAACACCAGAATATATCTTTGGTTTGACTAGATTCCGGAAGTTATGATAACATATTTCCTTTCATGCATAGTACCTTTCAATTTATTATTATTGAACATATTATATATATTGTTTTACAAATAATTATGTAAACAGTAATCATTTACTTAGGCAGCAAGTTGTTTATTCTTCTGCCAAACCACCATCACTTTTGGAATAAGAAGAATCACTTAAGAAACTGCTGTCGGGCTGTCAAATATCCGTGCATGAGTTGAACGTGTGCTTGCGGTACTTTCATGTAATCCATTGAAATTACATTTACAACATAAGAACAAACTGACAAATATTTGTCACCTGTGCTTTTCATGTTGACTTGCATGTAAGTGACAGTACACATATGCTTAGTGGCATAACACTGAATGCAAAACATACATATTTACTTAGAACTCATGCAGTCGTTGAAAAAACAAGACAAGTTCAAACAGCCACTTGGTAAGATTAAGAAAGTACACCCAGAATTGAAAATAGAAAATTTCAATATAAATTTAAAATTTGTGAAGCTTATAAAAAATATCAAATAAATTAAATATTCAATAGATAAAATTTTATAATTAAAAAATTCTCTCTGATTTTTATGTAGCAACTTATTGGTAAAATCAAAAAGTCCTACATAGCTCAGCTATTATCCTCGAAAATTTAAATTATCAACACATGAAAGAATTTCACAATTAAAAAAAATTTATTTGAAAATGTTTTTTAAGGTCACTTCACAGAACATTCAATGGTCACCCCCCACACAAGGGCGTTTCCACCAATTTTATTTACACGAGTTTTGCTTGCGAAAAACATGGCAAGGCTGGCATGTGTCCATCCATGGCATGTCCGTAGGCGTTAAACAAATGATTTCAAACACTTTTACACTGCAGACACCTACGCATTGTGCATTCCCACCGCTTCCTTGCAAATGGCATCGGTGTGGACTACATTTTATGCAGAACATATCCTTGCTTTCTTTGCACAATATTTTGTGTTGAGCGAAAACAGTGTTTGCACTTGAAAATTGTCCACTTCACAACTCATTGATTTGAATAACTTTGATCTATTTATATTTACACTCCCCACTGTACACGTCTTCAGTAAAACGTACAAATATAGACAATAACCAGAATGTGTAGGTGTTGATGGCTTCCTACAACTTTTTGCACCGGACAGTACTCCTCATGTGTGAGTCCTCGTGTACAAAAATTAAATATAAATTAAAAATAGAAAAATGTATACTCATATGGATATGTGTGGTTATTATTGATAAAAATAATTGAAAAATAAATTATACAAAAATTTTAATAGTAATTTCAAATTTCAAATGATAAGATTAATAGATTAGATATAATACCCGTACATACAAACCAATGGATAAAAAGAAGGATTTTGTTTTGAAATTGTGAGGAACTAAAAAATTTACCTCAGAAGTAAATTTCCTTAATAGATTGAATAAAATTATTTAGACTTTAGTAGATTAGTAGAAGTAATATAAAAATACCCACATATCTATATATAAAAAGCGCATGGCAAAGAAAACAGAATCTTGTATAAAGTTATTTAAGTGAGGCCATCTAGTAGTGATTACTTGCATTGACATTTCACTTTAGAATTACTTACTAAAGCAATTTTTCTACATAGTACAAATCAAATAGCTCTAAATATTTTAAAACAATACCAGAAAGACACATAAACACACAAAAACATAGATGATCATCATTGATTAAAAGAATAAAATTCGTTGAAATAGGTTCAACACCACAATTTAACACGAAGATTCCTGAGTCCCTAGGGAAAAACAGTTCCCTAGGTCGCAGCGCTACATCTCGTAATGTAAGAGCAATACTCGAAAGTCGTGTTAGTGTTCATATGGATTAGATTTCTGAGCCCTTTTTACTTCGTCATATTAGGAGTTAAAAAAGAATTTTGGAATATACCAGAGGTAATTTATCATAATTATAAATGTGTAAATTTACAAAATTAATTAAATTATATAATTTTATTTAAATTTAAATTGATGCTAATAAGTTTGAAACTACTCCCTAAATGTATGCTTAAAATATTATTCAATTCCAAACTGATCAGCGCAAAAATATGCTTTAATATTGTTCATTCAATGTTTGATGGCCACACGTTTAAGTTAGAATATAGAATAAACAAAATAAACTATTTTTACTTCGTGGATATTTAAATTCGAATAGATCTCGAATATATCTATTTTATATAGCCTTGACACTTAACCCAATATACTCAGGGTAATTTTTAGCACAGTATAGGATTCTAGTGAAGCCTTGTTCTGTTATAGCTGGACATTCACAAAGAATGTGCTCTAAGCTTTTGATCTCCATATTATAAAACGACAAACATCAGTGCCGGAGAGCCTAACTAATTTAAGTGATAGTGGACCAAATAGAGTCTTTAAATCTACCCTGCTTAATTAAAGAATTTTGCTTGATATTGCCTTCGCTGAAGAACGAAATTGTTTTGCTTTACGATGATCTACATTATTAAGCCCATGGACTGCGAATTTTTACTCCTATTTCTTTAAAAGGAGCAGCATCTATTAAGAGCCGATACGTCCTGTATAGTAAATATCTTAAGTGATTAGTGCAAAAAACGAAAACTAACGTACAGATGTGGATGTGGTGCATTTAGGAATTATAAGAGAACTCTACCCGAAAAAAATATGTTCAATACTTCGAACACGGTTTATTCATTATTATTAGTTTAATTATTTCTATCTTAACAAGGATTCTTTCTTGCTTCACTTTCAGTTTAAACGATAGTATCTTGATGGGATATCTGTGTATATATAAAGGAAGTGTACTAGATAACTTATACCATCAACTAGTAATTTGGGTAATAGATTGTGAAAATCATAATATTATCGGAAACTTCAGGGTTTTGCATTTTTGAGAATCAGAAAATTTAATTAAGTAAAACAATTAGTTTTAAATATATTTATTTTTGAATTTGAATTATATTATATTGCAGCACATATTTGCTTTTAATATTGAGCGCTTATAAATGCTAACTTTTTTATATAGGTACTCACTTTAAGACCTCTGAACCTAGAAAATCATCAATGATTATGTAAAATCTGAAGTAATGTTAAATAACTAATTCTTATACGTTTATTTTTTATTTTAATAAATAGTCTTAAAACAAAAGAATTGATTACTTTAGCAATCCTTATTGAGAAACTTGGAAGTCCACCCTCTATGATTTGTTTCTTTATTAATATTTAATATTTCCAAGTCATAAAAGAACGTACACCTGTTAACTTCCATAAACAAAAAATTGTCGCAAAAGTGTCACGATATTTTGATTAAAACTACCTCAAATATTTTTTAATTCATTTTTTTATCAATATTTTGGTAGAAAAACAACTGAGCAATGAGAAGAATTTTCGTCTTGCAACGCTTTGCCATGACCTAAAGCATTTCTGTTAGAAGTACTTCTTGATCGCTGTTGGAGCGATGCAACTGGGAACTGAGCCGCAATTGAAGACTTTCGCGAATCGTTTAACATGAAGCCAAACTTGATTTTCAGCGTACTTAAAACATTTGTCACTAGAATTGGGCAATGCAGTCTTCTAGTCTCTAATGCTTGGTGGCATGAGCAACGCGTTCATAGACGCAGTCCCACCAATTGCCACTTGCCACTTGCCAATTCGAAATAATTTTTTTCATCTTAGATTATTTTAAAGCGACATTGTATTGCATGCATTATTTATAGTTTTACGATTCATCATAATATGATATTTGCAGGGCTTAGAAAAGCATTTTTATAAGGGGATGAACAATATTTTGGATTACTTTCTGTAATTAAGCACAACGATTGGTAAATTCAGAGACGTTATTAATGTATACTTATTAAGGAATAATACAATACATATATACTTCACTCTAATCAAATACCTACAAGCGACTCTACATGCAATTGACTTCAGTGCTATAAATGGCTTCTTTAAGTAATATCTTAACTCCAGCATAATTATATATTCAGATAGTCATGGAATTATAAGATATCTCTAAAACTCAACAACTAAATTTACTGACTTAATTAGTATAAGTGGTATTATGAAAGAAAGACTCGTTTGGATACCTGATCAGAAGTGATTCGAAAGCAAAGACAAAGTTGCTACTTATTTGTCTTAGTCATAAGAATAGAGTAATCATAAAAACCTTAAATAGATTCTAGATTCTCATGTGATCCACACAACTTCTTTGGATTAACAACATAAATGCTAACAGTGTTCAGTCCAAATAAATTTGTACTCAGAATAATCTTGTAAGTGCCATCTTTCAAAGATACTAATATCAACAGAAACGTTAACAGATATTATCTGTTTGTGTTATACAATTACTGGAAACGTGATCTTAAAACTTTTCTAGGAATAACACAATAGATCCCAAACATCGAAGTGTACTATTTTCACTTCTAACTATTGTGTTCTTAATTCAGGTGACAGTACTTGGAATTCACTTTACATCCAGCACATATGCGCTATTCCAAAGTAGCTTTCACGCCGATCTAATTCGCTTGTATTTTGTGATTGTCAGAATCAGTAGTTTTGTCAGATTTTTCTTTGTTTCGAAATAAATGGAAACTTTTCAGGAAATGTATAAGAAACCTAAAAACCTTACTGTAACATTTCCCCTTCTCATAATTGTCTTTGAGTTCAGATGATAATACTTTGCGTACCCGTAGCATAGGTATATGCAGTACTCAAAATAATTTTTCAGTCAGAACTATTTGCCAATAACACAAGTACATAATTAATAGATATATGCTAAACTTTAATCACAACAAAAAAGGTTGTTGGAGTACCTACTTGTGCAAGTAACCCCCGTTATCCCTGGGCTGTGCGACCATGGAGTATTCCGCGAGTCTCGTCATTTATGGCTTTGCTCTAAAAGGCTAAGTGTAACATGCATGCTACTTTATAGCATGAGTGGCTATAAAATCTGGTAAGTTACTAATATGTACCATAAAAAGTTGAAGCGGCGATTGGCAATAGAAATAATAATTATATTTTGTTTTATTTATGAAAAGGCAATTGAAAGAACTCACCAATGTAATCGAAACAAATTTGAGAAAATAATTAATTCATTTAATTCATCTAATGGATTCATTAGAGAAGCGGTTCATTGTGAGAAAAGCTTAAAATACGATAAGTGTTGTATAAGTAAATATAATAATTAGATTAAAAATACGAATTTGGGTTCACCTATATTTGATATAACTAAATATTATAGATAACATATTATCTATAATAAAAATGATAGTTAATTATTTTGTCATAGGATGCCAGTTATCCCTTTCTGATAAAGTGTAAGTTAGTTACTCAATCAATTAATTCATTAAGCTAGTCGTTCTTTAGTTCCTTTTCGTTTCAGTATGACTACCATTTTCATCCATTATTCCATTTACAATATTAAAATCAAATTAAATTGATTGCAAACTCAACTCCCGATTGCTTGAGCAACATCTGTCAAGCAAACCTATTTCATGCGATTTTCATGCGATAATTACCCAATGAGGTAATTACCGCGGGTACGCAGAGCTACTGGTCTCAATTGCTTTATTTGGTGGCACAAACATTTTGGGCGTTACTAACGTCCATAAAAGCAAATCTGCATTAGTTTGAGTGCAAAAAAGAGTGGTGAAGCGTTTTATTTAATTAATTTTTTCTTTATCCATTAAAGTCTAATTTGCTGTATGGCTATTCGACTACCGAAAATGTTACCGTAAAAAATTTAATAAACTTATTAAATCTGCTTGAATTATTTTGAAATGTCTCTGTTTCTAAATGTTTGAAGTACTCATAATCCTCTGACCAATTCACTATTACACTATTCACTATAGGATCGGTTTTTACACATGGTTTTCAGCACAGGATAATATCTATCTTCTAACACTGGTGAGAATCGCTGCTCTTGATAAGACAATATAAGTTTATTAAAATTTTCAAAATAAAAAATTAATAAACCCCTATCATAATATAAAATAACTTAATCATATATTGAAAATGCCACATTATAAAATACTATTAAAATTAAGTTCAAATATAGACTTAACCAAAGAGTAAAAAATATGAAAGAAGCAAATACATTAACATAATTGAAATTGTGCTCTCTAACTGCACCAAAAAGAGTATATAAAATTAATAAATTGTTTTTATATTTGTATAAACATATGCACTTGAAAATCTTATTAGAGAAGAAGTTATTGATAATAAAATTTATTATATATTAGGTTTGAAGGAATGTAACTTGTGTTTGTGGTCATTCCATCACTTTGAATAATTATTTGCGCTGTTCGAATGTAACCTTATCTTTTCACTTCGATTTACAGAAGTCTAAAGTAAATATATTTTAAGAGTACATCTGAGGAAATTGCAAAGTACTTCTTTATCAAATGCATTAGAACCGAGATAATATAAGAGTTTGAAATTAATGAAACTTTATATACAATATAAATATTCTATAAAGGATCACTCTTGCCAATAAATTGTGCTTTGGGACCAGTTGTACACTTATTTGTACATGGAATAAAGTCGTTGATGCGCTTAGTAAATGATAATAGAGTTATAAACTATATGAGTTTTTTTTTTTTTTTCAAAAGAAGGGTTGGGAAGTAGTCTCCGCGTCACTGAATCCTCGAGGATTATTGTGACATACCCACTTCAGTTCCATAGACGAGTAGCAGTTAAGAATGCCAGTATGTCCTTTGCAGAGTGGATTATAAGTGGATAGGCAATGGATAAGTAGCGAAGTCTGAGTCTTGCAAGACTATCACAATGACACAATATGTGTTCTGCTGTTTCCTCTTCTTCGTAACAAATCGTAACACTATTATAGTTTTAAACTCATCGGTTTGGTTTGTTTTCTTTTCACATGATAACATATTACACCACTCCAGCTATAAAATTACCAGAACAAACAATGGAACAAATATGTTTTGATCATTTCCGTGAACATATTTTAAAACAAGTTGGTAAATTCTAGTAATCGCCTGTTTCATAAGAGATCTTGCTCACTTAGGCTCTAGGAAGCGGGACAATTATGTTCTTACAGTTTTCAAGCACTCTACCTGATTTAAGGAACATCATGTAATGACACTCGGATCTTGAACTCTTAGTTGAAATATACTTATTTGGAATATCACCAGAACACTGATGATATTGGACAAGCATTAGGAGAAGGATGATGCTAGAGTTAACATACGCCTTCTTTTGAATGCCAGAGTCCTTTCATCCCTTACTTAATTGAAACGTTAATTAAAGGATTACCATAAACCTTTATTCTTTGGAAAACAATCAAGAAATTGATTTTGAATGCTTTAAAAACTCTTATCCATGAATTCTACCCAAATCGTGCAATAATGCAATTTGTATTGCACTTTACTTATGTGGCAATATTAAGAAATCGTTTGAGTTGCGCAAATGAAAAAATGTCGTTCTTCGCAGTGTTCGAGTAGAATTTCTAAGTGTTTGAAGCACATAATTTAAAATGTTTTAAAGTGCCTTATAAAGCGAATCTTAGGTGCAGCACAGCACGAATAAAGGTTCCAAAAATTCAGATATTTCAAATTGAAATATTTTTCCAAAATTAAAGCAATTTGCCAGATTCCGCAAATATCAGCGAACACTGTTTGAGCTTTTCAATGTCAGTTGCATATTTTTTTTTGTTTGACTGCCTTAACAATGACAAATGCACTAGAACTGCGCCAGAAATGGAACAATGTTGTTGAAAAAAGTATAGTATTTTAGAAATTTTAAATCAATTGAAGTCTTAATTAAAATTCAACTCAAACAACTTAATTACAATCTCAACTGATGATTCACCGAACGGGTTTCAATCGTTCTTCATAATAAAGTTGAGCTTAGAAGTTTCTAAGAGCACTGCCAGACTATTAAAGAGAGAAATTAATCAAACTGAGCTCTGAGAAGGATGTATATAAAATTTTGTTATAACAATAAGAAAAACAAGAAAGGAATGAAAACTTTTTAAATAAAAATTGAAAAAAGGAAGCATTCACTGAAAGAATTTTAACTACTTCGAATATGGAGTGTCAAAACAAAACTTCGGTCTGGGGAACTATTACCACACACTCTATCTATCTGAATATATATATTACACTCTATCTTTATTGTACTCTCTCTATCAAACTCTTTGTCTATATCTCATTCTCTATCTAACTAACTCTCACTCTGTTACTATATCTCTTTCTCATTCTTTCTAATTGAAAAAAAAGGTATTTATCTCTCTCTATCTCACTCTCTATCTCTCTTTCTTTCACTATCCACTTCTCTCTCCAACAGAAATAGAAACATAAAAGACTTTCCATCATGTCTTTAGATTCCACTGTTTTTATATCTCAATTTCTCGATATCTCATCCTCTCTATATCACACTCTCGTTCTATCATTCACTCGCTTTATATTACTTTTTTTACCTCACTCTTTCACTCTGATTTTTAGACTTTAATTTATTTCATTCTCTCTATCTCATTCTTTCTTAGTGAGAATAAAAAGGATATTTATCTCACTTTCTCTCACTCTCTCTTTCTATCTTTCTATCTCTTTCTATTTCTCTCACTATATCTTACTCTCTCTATATTTCACTCTCTTTATATCTTACTTTCTTTATATATCACTTTCTCCCACTCTCTCTTTTTCTCTATATCTCATTCTCCCTATATCTTACTCTTACTATATCTCACCCTCTCTATATTTCACTTTCTCTATATCTTACTCTCTATATATATCACTTTATATTTATATTTTGTGATATTGAGTGAGATATTTCTCGCTCCTTCTCTATCTCACCCTCTTCTTGTCTCACTCTCTATTCAAATCGCTCTATTACACATATTCTTTATTTCAGTCTATCTACCCCGTTCTCTCATTCTCACTATGTTTCACTGTCTCTAAATCTCACTCGTAGTTTCTGTTTTCTGACAACTTGATAAGTTCTTAATTTTTTGAGATATATTAGTATATCCGAAGAGTGCATAAGACGATAGTGAGCATTTAATCTATTATTGGAAGGGAATCCAAAATCGACTCGACGTTATTCATAAATTGAGATATAATCATAAAATCGACTTGGAATAGATAAATATAAATGCCTGCGAATATAGTGAAGAAATCCTATTACCAAGAAATCCTATTACTATTTGACCAAATTTTTATGCTTTAAATTTTAGAATGAATTTTGATTTATGGGCATGTAATGTATCTGCACATTTGCTTCAGATAGTTTCTTTGGGATATTTCACATTTTACTTCAGCGCAGATATTTCATGTTACAAGTATTTTTCATTTTTCATTTTTCATTGAAATGCGTAAGAGAAACAATTATGGCGATTCCGGTGTAGCGACGAAATACGTTACAACTGCTCTTGGCCAGTCACAGTTAATGCATCTTTTGTCTGTCCAACTAATATGTGGCTTCTTAGCTGAAGCCAAGAGTGCGTGCCTCAGTAACTACAGGCCTACAGGCCAATGGTTGAACGCTTAAAACGATTCTGTGATCTTTTTGCTTGATTGTGCATTTATCTATTTTCTATGTGCATTTTTTCTTCTTCTTTTCATTACTTACATATAATATTTTGTTGCACTAAACTGAATCGAAGTATAAAAGTATCTCAAGTTTTTGAATTGCAATGCAGTTTCATTACATATTGCTTAGTGAAAAGTTCGAGATTTCGTTTACGCATTAACCACCGCTTCGATCTTAGCTACCAACTATTTTCGTACAAATATGAAGTTTCTGGTAAACATTCAGATATTCTAAAAACTTATTAGAATATTGATTTTAGCATTAAAGACTCATTCTGTTATCCTTTTCAGATTCTTCTCGGCTTAATTGCTGCATCAGCTGCCGCCCCAGGCGGTTTACTTGATTATGGACATGATCTCTCATATGCCGCACCAGCTGTTGGCTATGCACATGCAGGCCCCGTTGCCGTAGCTGCAGCACCAACTTTTGTCAAATCAATTGCTGCTGCGCCTGTTGCAGTTGCAGCCCCTGTAGCTGTTTCAGCTCCTGTTGCTGTAAAAGCAATCGCTGCTCCAGCAGCTACGAGTTATTCATCATTTAGTCAGGTGAGTCGCACCTATCGAAGTTTATTCAAAAAATATATGAAATAAATAAAGTAGAATAAAATATGAAGAATAAAATAAATGTATTTTTCCCATTTGTGTGTAATCACCGCCTACTCTTGTAAGAGTTCCTAATACACCCACTTAACAACAGTACATTCTACTTCCAGGTCACACACTCAGCTCCAGCTGTCGTTAAATATGCCGCCGCCGCTCCTGCTATATCATACGCAGCTGCAGCTCCCGCCATCTCATATTCTGCTGCACCTGTCGTAAAATATGCAGCCGCTGCTCCTGCTATATCATATGCCGCTGCTGCTCCCGCCATCTCATATTCTGCTGCACCTGTTGTAAAATATGCAGCCGCAGCTCCTGCTATATCATATGCCGCTGCTGCCCCTGCTATATCCTATGCAGCTGCAGCTCCCGCCATTTCTTATGCCGCCGCACCGACTGTAGTCAAATACGCCGCCGCTGCACCTACATACACAGTAGCCGCTGCACCATCGATCGTCAAATACGCCGCACCTGCAGTTTCACTCGGTAGTTATGGTGGCTTTTCCAGCTATGGCGGCTACGGGGGTTATGGTGGTTATGGTGGTTATGGAGGTTATGGAGGTTATGGAGGTTATGGAGGTTATGGCCATGGCTACGGTCATCTGTTGCATTAATTTTCTCATAATCACTCACATAACGACGAAGGATAATCGGCCGAAGGATAATAAGGATAAACGTCATTTCTACAATATGCCAGAGTCATTTTAATATTCTTATGTTAACATTTAGTATTTCTAAAATATTTGAAAAAACAAATAAAAATAATGGAGCATCAACGTGAACCTCAGAACAACGAAGGAGTAAAAATAACAGCAACAACAGCCGCGCATTGCAAAGAAAACGAATTTATAAAAACATTAAAAAAAATAATTTAATAATTATTAATAATTAAAAATGTATTAACGCTTTAATTTTAACTAATTTCATTTGTTGTATGGCAAGGAGAAGAGTTCAAAGCTCATCGAGCTGAGTACGAAGACATTTGGGTTTGATCAGGTCCAAAAGTGAACTCATTGGATTATTCTGGTGATCTTAAGAGTCTGCGAAAATTATAATTAGGCGAAAATAAATAAAAAATAGTTGAACTTTTTTC